AAGCAAATGTTTATATGGTTGCACGGAATCAACACGAAAATCAGGTTTGATGGGTAACTGTATTATCTATAATCACTTTAATGTCTGCATTTTTCTTTTCTTTTGTTATGGTGGCTATTTCCATCGATTGATAAAAGAAATAATTGTTTCAACAATAATGATAATCACAAATATGCGTTCTCGTCTCAGCATTTTTCTTGTTCTTTTTCATCTTTTTCTCTCTCGCAGTTTTCGTGTCTTGTATTGATATTATTGCTAACAATATTGTATAATAACTATATTATTATTATTATTATTATTATTATTATTATTATTATTATTATTAGAGTATGTTTTAAATGCGATTATTATGATCATGGTAATTATCAAGACAATGATAAGAAAAATAATACGGATGATGATGATGATGGTAATGAAGATGATGATGATGATGATGATGATGATGATGATGATGATGATGATGATGATGATAATGATAATGATGGTGATAGTAATGGTGATCATGATGACGGTGATGGGGATAATGATGATTATTGTACTGGTAATGACGATGACGGCGATGGTGATGGTGATGATGATGATAGTAACAAAAATACTATTCGTGATAGAAGAGGAGTCAGTTAAGAATCCTAGAAAGAGATACTCTTCCTCTTTCATCGCCTCTCCCTATCCACCCCATTCATCCATCCGCTCTTCACCTCTTCCCTTCCGTCGTAAGAAAAAGGGACTTCCTTTATATCTCTAACAATGACCACCTGATTGTGTTGGCCTAACTTTACTCAATTAGTAGGCTCACGAAAAATCTTTTTTTTTTTATTCTCTCTCTGCCTTTTCGGCTTCCATCTGCTCCTAATCTGTCCCTACTGTTCCTTTTTCCTTCTCCGATTTCTTCTCCATCTCCTCTTGCATATTTTCATTTCTTTCTTTCTTTCTCTTCGTCTTCGTTTGCGTCATCCTCCTCTTCCTTATTCTTATTTTTTAATAAATTTCTTCTTTATCTTCTCATTCTTCATCTTCTCCTGTCCCTTCTTCTTTTTTCTTTCTTTCCTTCTCGTTTTTTCCTTCCCCTCTTCCTTTTACTCTTCCTACTTCTCCTCTCCTCTCTCTCTCTCCTTTGTCCATCTCTCTTGCCCAGAGCCACCTTTCCCTCTCCCGCCGCGCCCGTATAGCTGACCTTAATTTCTGTTTTCTCTCATTTCCTCTCTGTTGTCCCAATTCTCCTCCTCGTTCGTCTCTCCTTTTCACCCCTATCCAATTCCCTCTCTCCCTTCTTCCACGAAAGTATAGCTTACGTTATTTTTCCTTCTCTTCCTCTTCTTCTACGCTGTTCTAATCATCTTCCTCTTTCTTCCTTCCTCCTTTTCGCCCCTGTCCATCTCCCCTTCCCTCCCCCCCTCCACGCGCGTATACCTGACCTTATTCGACCTTTTCCCGCCGGAGATCCCGTTCGTTTAAACGCGGCGCCCTCGCTCGCGTCTTTAAAGTCGGAATGACCCGCCGCAGCCGCCGCCTCCGCCTTCGCCTCCCCCACCTGCTTCCGCCGCCGCCGCCGCCTCGCCCGGGCCCTCGCATGTCGGGAGGCTTGAAGAGCAATCCTTTAATTCCGAGGCCGTCCCCTTGCATGACGTGCGGGCAATTACAGATGACAATTTCAATCACGGCACGATCAATAATGGATTATTTGTCCGTCTTGGTGGACAGTTAGGGGAAGGGCGAGAGGGAGAAGGAGGGGGGAGAGAGAGGGATAGGGAGAGAGAGGAATGGGAGAGAGAGAGAGAGGGAGAGGGAGAGGACATGAATTATTCCCCCGGTGACATGTGGCATCTCTCATTTATACGGCGGCCGCGGGATGGTCTCCCTTCGGCCCGGCTGGGATGGGACGGTCTCAGCCACCGAGGTCTCTAGGGGCTGCTCGCTTCATCCCGCGTCGATCGCCTCCTTCGCTTCGCCGGGCTGGCTTCGCTTCGCCAAATTACGATGAAGGGATCTCTCGTAGCCACGGTCGCCAAACAATATATAAACATAATAATATGTACATGTGAATAAAGTTTTGAAAAAAGAGGGCGGAAGGTCGAAGATGCTCCTTTCATGCACTTTAATAAGTGTTTGGTTTTCGGATCGTCCCCGTTTGATGCTGTTTGAAAATTCAACCGAAGGATTCCGATTTTCATTGACGAAATAGAGGTTTATGCCTCTCTATTGGAGAAGTTATACAGGCCAATGGATGAGAATAAATAGGCATGTGCACCATATCCGCATGTATTACGTAATAGCTCATTCAATATGTCTGTTTTGTGTGTGTGTGTGTGTGTGTGTGTGTGTGTGTGTGTGTGTGTGTGTGTGTGTGTGTGTGTGTGTGTGTGTGTGTGTGTGTGTGTGTGCATAAGTAAGTCATATAAGTATATACATGTATACAAATGCAAGCCATTGCAGACTCCTGTGCACGGGAGCCTCCCTGGCCGAGCCTTGCATAAGAGCAGAAATCATGATGTCGAAATTTCCCTTTGTGAGTTCGCATGACGTGGGCCATTCCTTCATCATGGAGGCATAACCTCAGGTAATAAGCTTATTCACAAGCCATAATGACTGTACTAATTAAGGACAGAAAAACGCAGTGCGCAGTTTGAACTCGTGTTGAACGTGACTCACGACACCAGACGCATGAACCCACGACATGACACGAATGACGAGACGGCGCGGCCAGGTCATCCCTTGACCTCGCCAGACAACGAGTGCCGGGAAGTTGTTTGTCGTCTAATGCTGCCGCGGTTTTATTACCTGTCTGTGTCTCTGTTGCAGACGGGCGGTACCCGCTTTTATTTGCTCGGCGTTATTGTAGTGCTTTTGTTTTCTTTCGTTTGTTTTTGTCTAACAAACTGTCTAGTTATTTCGGTGTGTCTTTAAGTTTTCTTTGAACCTTTCGCTGTTCTTTTACACTTCCTCTTTTTTCTTCACCCATCCTCTCTCACTCTCTCTCTCTCTCTCTCTCTCTCTCTCTCTCTCTCTCTCTCCTACCTCCCCTACAGACCCTTATCTGCACCTGCAGAAGGCGACTCATACATTTAATCAGCATTAAGAGGTAAA